ATTGTTTTGGTTGTTTGATATTTTACAAGGATCTTTACTAACATGATTTTCAACCCTATCATGCTTCACAAGTTGACTAATGCCACTGGCAGATATACTAATTTCTTACAATAAATGAAATGCGCTGAACTTAAATCGTTATTAACACCTCTGATATCTTTTAAACCAAATAGATAATGAATAATAAATAAATAAAACACAAATAATATTAAAACACATTTTATTAATAGACATTTTCTATGTAAAAAGTACACAGTAGTCACTTTTAGAAATATATGACCAGATTTTTAAAAACCTAACTTAAAAATTTATTAATTTTATTTTTGCATGCTTAACTAACAAAAATGCATGCTTTTACATGCTTTGCATGCCTGCGTAAATAATTGCATGCTTTGCATGCCAAGTGGGAACCCTGAAATTAATAGACTGTGTTCTATACTTACTTCAATTATAATACGATCTTAACTATTATTATTCAACTTAATATGTTTGTATAATATTTCTAAACTAAAAAACAATTTTCTAAACTAATAAATAATAATAACATATCAAAAGGTAAAACCCAGTTGAAAGATCTTTCTATAGCGACCGCGTGCATTTTGAGAACGTGCTCTTTCAAGTTTAGAAAAACCTGGTAACTAATAAAAAACACTTTAAAAACGAAAACGAAACAACATTCAACATTGAACATTGACTGTAACAATTATATTAAAATGGTAAATAAACAAAACGGAAGCAAAAAAACTAAAGAGAAAACCACTTTTTCTGTATAATAACTTGATTTTAAATTAAAAACTAGAAAAATACGTCAAAAAAAACAGGTTTCCACTAACTTCATTTGGAATCTTTTGCTATATTTTCAGAGAGCCTCTAGGTTTATTAAAGAAAAATGATAAAATAAACCTTAGGGAAAATCCAATGTTTTTTACAACAAATATCCTTTTCTATATAATAACATATTTTTAATTAAAAAATCAAAAATACGTAAAAAAAAAAAACAGGTTACACTGATATCTTTTAGATTATTTTGTTAAATTTTGAGAAATTCTGTGTGTTTATTTAAAAAAGTAGTATAATAAACCAAAGAGAAGCAAAGGAACCTATGCTTTTTACAACAAAACTCCTTTTTTCTGTATAATAACTGTTCTTAATTAAAAATAATTCTGTATAAAATAGACAAATGCGTCAAAAAAACAGACTTTCAATGATTTATTTTGGAACCTTTGGTTATATTTTCGAAGATTTTGTGGTTTTATTTAAAAACAACTTAACTATAATTGAAAAATAACAATTGCGTCAGAAAACAGGTTTCAACAGATTTCTTTTGCCATCTTTTGTTATATTTTCAGAGATTTTGTGGGTTTATTAAATGAAATAATAAAACAAACCTGAGAGAAACAAAGAAGCCTAAATTTTTACGACAAATCCTTTTTCTGTGTAATAACTTACTTATAATTGAAAAATAGGGCGAATGTGTCAAAAAAAAAGGTTTCCATTGATTTCTTATGGAATCTTTCATAGAATTAAATTTTAAGAGATTCTGTAGATATATTTAAAAAAATGGTGAAATAAACTTAAGAAAAGCAAAGTAACCTAAGTTTTTTACGACAAAACCCCACTTTTTGTATCAAAACTTACTTATGATTAAAAAAAAAAGACAGTTGCGTCAAAATAACAGGTTTTCACTGGTTTCTTTTAGAATCTATTGTTTTATATATATATATATATATATATATATATATATATATATATATATATATATATATATATATATATATATATATATATGGATTTATTAATAAAAATAGTAAATAAATCTAACAAAAGCAAAGGAACCTAAGTTTTTAAAGAGAAAAGCTCTTTTTAAGTATAACAACTTTTTTATAAATTAAAAAAAATCCAATTGAGTTATAAAAACAGGTTCCTACTGCTTTATTGCGCAATCTTTAATTATATTTTTAAAGATTTTACAAGCATATATATATATATATATATATATATATATATATATATATATATATATATATATATATATATATATTTAAACAATTTAAAATGTATTCTACAAAAAGAGTCTTTAATGTTCTTAAAAGAACAGAGCAATTACAAATTAGTATGAAAATTACTTAGCAAAATTTTTTCTAATTTAACACTGTGTTTCATCAATAAAGACTCATCAGAAATGCTGTTTTTCTATTTCTCATTTCTGATGAATCTTTATTGATGAAACACAGTGTTAAATGAGAAAAAATTTTGCTAAGTGATTTTCTACTAATTCATATATATATATATATATATATATATATATATATATATATATATATATATATATATATATATATATATATATATATATATATATATATATATATATATATATATATATATATATATATATATATATATATATATATATATATATATATATATATATATATATATATATATATATATATATATATAGACTTCACGGGAAGAAACGGTAGGGACACATTTTGAAAATTTTGACATTTTACACTTTTTAACTTTATAAACAATATTAATATACATTTTATTTGAATTCAAATCAAAAAAACAATTGGATGTACCTTTATAGTTTGATGATACTTAATCACTTTTTTTTATTATACAATACATACCTCCCTGAAAAGACAAGTGTTTATGAATTTATATAGACCAATTTCATGTGACGTATAAAGCAAAATGTAAATATTATGCGTGCGCATACTGGCAGGCAAAACAATTTTAAATATCGTTTTAACTATTGTCAACATTACTACATTACAACACAGCATTTAAAATATTAAAATCGTATTTATCATTAAATAAATAATAAATATTGTTAGCGTGGTTGAGTTAAATCCGGAAAATTTTAATGAAAGTGTTTGGCAGAAAGACATTACAAAGTTGCCTGACATTACTTGGAGAGACGTGATAAGTTTTCTCATCGACACTCCTAATGAGTTTACAAAAGAAAATACTAAGGCATACAAATCATTGGAAGCATATAAAACATATTTTTTGTGTGGCCACGTGCAAGATTGTTTGTATGCTCCAAGTATCAATGAAGATTATTGTTTTAATTATTATAGACATTGATTTCTAAACTGATTTGTATGCTCCTAATTATTAGGAGCATACAATTCAGTTATTATTAGGCTAATAATATTAAGATATAAGTAACATTAGACGATTTTTGTTCACGATCAACATTTTTTTATTTTACTGATCTTTATTTAGGTTCTTCCAAGCCAGAGAGTTAGCAAAAAGAGTTGCATGTATGAAGTATGGGTTTGTCTTCACAAAGACGGGTGGATTAAAAGAGCCAGCTGCACTTGTCCAGTAGGACTAGGTTCAGTATGTTCACATATTGCAGCTCTACTTTTTAAACTTGAGGCTGCTGTGGACCACCGATTAAATAGAGAGGATGCATCTACAAGTCAGCTTTGTTTATGAAATGCCTCAAAACGCAGTGTCAATGCAACACCATTAAGTGCAATGAATTTTAGCACAAATAAAAAAAGGGGAGAGTTACCCTCATTTAAAAATCTTGTTCATAAAAAAAAAAAAAAAAAAAGCATAAGAGCATCAACCATGTTTAAAGTAAATGGAAACTACTCGTATATTGATCCATCACATCGCATATCAGTAAGCGACTTTAACAATTTACGTAAATCCAATCCTAAAGCTGTTATATTTACTAGCTTAGATTGTAATAGCAATCAGAAATCAAGTGATACTGAGTCAGGTTCAGAAGATGAGACAGGTTGTTTACCAGAACCTATAACTAGTTTGTTTGATCCTACTTGCAATAATTCAACTGAATTCCAGCTTTTAAAACATTCCAAGCAACTATATAAAGCCAAACATATTTTGAAAAACAATATGATCAACTTGCTAAAGTAACATATCAGCAAAATCAGTCATCAGCTTGGCAAGTTCATCGTGCAGGAAGAATTACAGCTTCAATATGTTTTAATGTATTTCACACAAATAAAGATGTTTTGAGTGAATCTCTCATACAAGAAATCTTGCAATATAAAAAAGAATTTAAGACCAAATTCACACAATATGGTAAAAAAATGGAACGTTTTGCTAAAAATACTTTTTGTGAAATCCAGTTAAAGAAGCATAACAATTTTGTGTTTGTTGACTCTGGTTTTCATGTTATGGCTAAGCTACCTTTTTTAGGAGCAACTCCTGATGGAATATTTACTTGTTCTTGCTATGGAAAAGGTATTTTAGAGATAAAGTGTCCATTTAAATATAAAAATGGTTTTATTAACTGGCAAAGTGATGAGAAATTTCCTCTTAACAGTGATGGCCTGAAATCAAATCTTATTTTTTCCAAATGCAGTTACAAATGTTTGTTTGCAAAGTTACATTTGGTGAGTTTTTTATGTGGTCCCCAGTTAAGCAGAACAATTATTTACAATGTACTGTAGAGCGTGATGATGCATTTCTTGAAGTAGTTGTTGATATTTTGACTAAGTATTTTTTTAATACTATTTTGCCAGAAATTGTTAGCAGAAAAATGGATGTAAGCTTTCAACATCGAAAGCAATATTGTTTTTGCATGAAACCTGAATTTGGTTTTATGCTTCCATGCAGTAATATAGAATGTGCCAAAAAATGGTTTCATTACTCGTTTGTAAATGTTACAAGGAAACCCAAAGGCTCCTGGTTCTGTCCTCAATGTAGGGATTATTTACAGTATTTTTTATTAACAATACCTTTTAGTGATAACAAATGATTATGTTATAGTAATGTATTATATTTTTACTAGATATGGTAATATAACAAACTAGACAAATTCAATGTTATTTATTACAATATCAAACAGTATGCACTATTTGATTATTGATTACCCATAAATTATATTTATATGTTATAGTATATTTTTTATAAATATTCTTGAGTAAAACTTAAAAATAGAAAACAGCAAGGTATGGTTTAACTGTTTTTTAACATGATTTATAACATTAACAAGTATTATAGCGTTACTTGATAATACTTTTCTTTAAATTAACAAGGGCTGATATCACGACCATTATATCATCTAAAAGATTAATTGGAACAGTGGTTTGGAAAATTCTAAATTGTTTTACTCTGCCAATAATGCGTTCAACATGTATTCTTACATTTGACAGTTGTCTTGAAGTTCCAACTTCTTGCGGACTTAACTGTTGTTTTCCTTTTAAAAATGCTGGAATGTAAAGGTTTGCTCCTTTCTCTGCAAGCTCATCTTTAATTAGGAATCCCCTATCTGCTAAAATGCAATCTCCAAAATTTATACATTTGAGAAAGCCCGATTGATTTGTTAGCTTTTTGTCTGAAACCCTGCCTCCCCAACCACCAGACAAGAAAGTAATTGCACCTGTTGGACTGATTCCTATTAAATATTTAATAGTATTGTTGTGTTTGTAATTTGACCATGATTGAGCTCGAGTTGTTAGATTTGATGGTCTCTTAATAAAAATCTCATAGCAGTCAATTATACACACACAGTCTCTAAATTTCTTTTTAAAACACTCTGGCAGGTTACTTCTTATTACACATTTATTAGGCCATTTTATTAACGGTTGTAAGCAAGTTGCTAGGTTTGGCAGCCGATTTCGCAAAGCTCTGGATATTACACTTTCACAGACACTAAAACAAAAAGCATTATCTTTATTTAGGAGCACAAGTCGCATTTTCATAAGTATTATTAACAAATGGTTTTCTTTTGATAAACGAGATAAACAAAGTTTTATATCATATGTCCTTGTCAATAAAGAAAGAATCCAAAGAAATGTTGCCATATTTGGTAGCCCTGTAAAAAAATTAAAATGAGCATTGTTTTCTTTAAAGTTTTCAATACTGAAAGATGAATCCCTTTTTTTAAGTTTTTCATTTTCTTGTCGCAAAAGATAAATTTCCATGTTTTTATCGCGTAATTCCATGTCTAATCTTTGATTTTCTTCTTTCAATAATTCTTCTATGCTCAAATCACATTGGATACCTACACTTTTAAACAATACAGATTGTTCTTCAGTATTATTTTCAGAAAACTTTTCATTTTCAAAAAATACAGAGCACTCTTCATTTTCATCATTTTCTATTTGTTCAGTAACAATATTATTTCCAAAAAACGATTCTTGTTTCTTTTCTCGTAATCGGTATCTTTGATATCGCTCTAGTTGTCTATTATTTAAACTGTTGGATTTGTACATAAAAACCGAAGGAACATATTCTGGATGACTAGGTTCATCAGACCGTTTACCTATAAATAATATAAAATGACGATGATTTTGTCGCAATAAATAGGTTCAAGAAATAATAACATACAATTAAATAAAGAGGAACTAGTAATCACTCTTACTACTGTTATTTGTATAATTAAAATTGTATTAATACTGTATGCAGTGTTTTTATCACTGTACTCATATTTTATAGGTTTAAATGTAAATTATGTTGATTAAAAAGCAAACAAATTAGAACTAAAAAAAGACCTGAAACAAAGTGTTTGCTGCATACACGAGCATTTTTTATTATTTTATCTGGCCAGTTTTTGTCATAAAGAGCATTCAACCAAAGCTGTCGTCTTTTAACTTCATTTAGTGAATGACCACTTGGAATGCGGTAAAAACTGAACAAACTTTCAATACTTTATTAGTATTAGTTATATATAATAAAAAGACTGTTCAATATTCTTAAAGAACAGAGCAGTAATATATTAGTGAAAAAAAAAACACTTTTTTAAGTTAAGGTTTTACTGACAGTTTCTTCTTCAGCAAGATTATCATGAAGCAGGATCATCAAGAAGGATAGTTTTTTTGATGATCCTGTTGAAAGAGGAACTGACAGTAGAAACTCAAATTAGATAAGTGTTTTTTTTACTAATTTATTCATATATATACAATATATGTGTATATATATACAATATATTTGCATATATATACAAATATATATATATATATATATATATATATATATATATATATATATATATATATATATATATATATATATATATACAAATATATATATATACAAATATATATATATATATATATATATATATATATATATATATATATATATATATATATATATATATATATATATATATATATATATATATATATATATATATATATATATATATATACATTTTAGCTGAATAAATAACCATTTTTATGCTAGATTTTCAACATCTTGATTTAGTATACATGCCAATAATTTAACACGCAACATATTTAACACTAGTTTTAACATTTCTTTTGGGTACCCTAGGACTGACACATGTTCAAAATGTGATGAGTTTAAAATTAAAATTGATGCAATAAAAATTGAACTATTTTTTAATTCAGAATGTACAAAGCCTGAACAACAATTGCATGAGCATGAGTAACTGAAAAAACAGCACCACAAAGATGCAGAAACATTTTATGTCAGGAAAAGATATGCTCGGTTTAAAGCACAAAGGGAGTTTGTACTCCCTTTTGTTTGAGGCAATTCCTTTTGATTTCCAAAAAAATCTTAACTTACTAAATCAATCAACCAACGACTTTTACTACAAACGAAAATTAGCATTTTATTCATCTAATATTCACGTGCTTTCAAGTAATGATGTTTATTTGTATTGTTATGATGAAACTTCAGTTAAAAAAGGGGCTGATGAGGTAACTTTGATGTTATATAATTTTTTTATAAAACATTTAGACAATGAAATTCGATCTGTAGAGCTATTTTGTGATTCATGTGGTGGCCAAAACAAAAACTATTCATTAATTCGTTTTATGGATTTTCTTGTGCATGAAAAAAAAAGGTTTGACTATATTAAAGTTACATTTCCAGAACGTGGTCATTCTTTTATGGAATGTGATAAAGATATGGGATTAATTAATTGCAAAACATCAACAATTGATCCATCAGATTGGATTAAAACATTAAAAAATGCTCGTAAAAACCCCACTCCGCTTTATGTTATAGAATTAACGCAATGTATGGTTAAAAGTATAACTGATTTTATGAGACCATTTTAAAAGAATAAATGTTCAATTCCAACACGTCTTTTTCGTGAAATTTGTTTCAGAGGAGACTCAGGTGGCATTGTATTTCATCGTGATTCGTGGAATGGATTATTGTTGAAAACTAATTTAAAAAATAATAGGAAGAACACTATAAATAGTGAGATCCCCATTCTGTATAATGCAAAACTTTGCATCTCTGTGGCAAAGTACAGAGATTTACAAGTATTTAAAAGGTTTACATCGAATGCTCAGTTTTACGATTCTTTGTCATACAATCAGGACGTTATTGAGACATTTCATGAGATTATTGATTCTGAAAATGAAGAGTAAATAGACTTCTTTTTTGATTTAAAGTTTGTTTTTAGTTATTTTTTTCTTAGTGTTTTTTGAAAAAATCTATAACCTTTAATATGTTTCTTCTTTGCACTTAATATACAACAATTTATATAATTAATAATGCCAAGGTATTGAATATATCTTTTGACTATTAGTCAGGGTATGAAAATAAAAATTCAGATCAAATAAATTCTGAGTTGTTTGAAAACCTATAAAGTTTTAAACCCCCTTTATTATTAGGAAAGAAACTTTGCATTAAATAACTTTTTGCTTACAGTTTTGTGACACCTATATAGGAATAGTTATATAGGTATTTAATAGGTTAATCTTTAAATAAAAAACAAATTGAACTTTTTTATCAACAGTGATATTTTTGAATGCAAGATTTATAATAAAAATTAAAGTCATTCGTAAACGAGAACTAGAACTAATACTATAATCATTTTCTATACAAAATATCTACAGACAACACTTGATATCTCGAACCTGAAAGGGACCGATTAATTAGTTTGAGATTAAAGAATTTTCGAGTTATCGAGAGTATAATCCATATATAAGGGTTCGACTGGATTCAAAAAAGTTTGAGATATCAATTATTAAAGATATTGAGAGTTGACTGTAAGTGATATTTTTGTGCACGAAAAAAGAACAAAAATGAAACCTTTTGTTAACGAAAACTATAATTATTTTCTAAACAAAAATATCAACACTAAACAGTATTTTTAATTTTAGTTCAACCCCCTAATCTTTTAAATGATCAATATTAGGTCTTGGTGGTTAGGTTGTTTGATAAAATTAGCTTCTGCCTAATTTAATTTATAAGCTAATAAAAAATAATTCATATTTTAGCTTTTTACTTGATCTAAAAACTAATAAAATAAAATAAAACATTTTACCAGGGATAAAACGGCAGAGTCCACAAAAAACCTCACTTAAAAAAGAAAGTCTATCACGTAAATTTTTATTTTTAAATTAGAAATGCAACTTTAATTGCATAAAAAATTGGTTATTTTTGTAATATATCTTAAAAATTTTAATCTTTTCACTAAAAATAAAAAAGTTATATAGGTTTAAAAGTTTAAAGATAAGTTATCGCACAATGAAAAAATGTGACCCTGCCGTTTCTTCCCGTGGAGTAAACAATTTTTTTTACGACAAAACTCCTTTTTATGTAAAATTACTTATTTTAAAAATTACTTATTTTCCTGTAAAATAAATTATAATTGAAAAATAAGACGATTGCGTCAAAAATCAGGTTTTCATTGATTTCTTTTGCAACCTTTTGTTATATCTCTAGAGATTTTGTAGGTTTGTTTAGAAAAGTAGTAAAATAAATCTGAAAGAAGCAAAGAAACCTATGTTCTTTTACTACAACACTCTTTTTTCTGTATAATAACTTACTTATAACTAAAAAATCAGACAGGTGTTTCAAAAAAACAGGTTTTAACTGATTTCTTTTGGAATCTTGTTGTATTTTCGGAGATTCTGTGGGTTTATTAAAGAAAATGTCAAAAAATTGCAAAATGACTCACCTAAACCTATGTTTTATATTCAAAGTACGCTATTTATAAAATAAAATTTTTTCCTAAAATGTTATTTTCCTTAAAACTATCAAAAAAAAACAGGTTTTCAAAAATTTTTATTGGATTCGTTTTTTATATTTTAATAGATTTTGTGGAATTATTTTAAAAAATAGTAAACTAAACCGGAGGGAAATAAATGAGTTTAAATTTTTTACGACAAAACCCTTTTTTCTGTGTAATAACTTACTAATAATTAAAAAAAAAATCGCATTTTATATTTTTAAAGATTCTGTGGGTTTATTTAAATAAACGGGAAAAAAAAATTGAGAGAAGAAAAGGAATTTAAGTTTTTTACGAATAAACCTCTTTTTATGTATAAAAAGTTACTTACAATTTTAAAATGAGACAAAAGCGTAAAAACAACAGATTTTCTATTATTGATTTCTATTAGAATCTTCTGTTACATTTTTAAAGAACTTGTTTTTTATTATTGAAATGGTAAACTAAACCTGAGCGAAGCAAAGGAACCTATGTTTTTTAGGACAAAACCCTTTTCGGTATAATATTGTCTTAATTAAAAAATAAGAGAAATGCTTCAAAAAAACAGGTTTACATTAATTTCTTTTTAAATCTTTTTTCATATATTAAGAGGTTCTGTAGGTTTATTAAGGAAAATGGTATTCTAAACTTTAGGGAAGTAAAGGAACATAAGTTTTTTACGATAAAAGCCCTTTTTTTGTATAACACTTTACTTCAAATACAAAATTAAGACAAAAGCGTCAAAAAAACAGGTTTCTACTGAAACTTTCTTTTGGAATCATTAGTTATATTTTAAGAGATTTTGTTGGTTTATTCAAGAAAATGGTAAAATAAACCTGAGTGAATCAAAGAAGCCTAAGTTTTTTACAACAAAACCCCTTTTTTTTGTAATAACTTACTTATAATTAAAAAAAAAAAAAGAAATGCATCAAAAAACAGTTTTCCACTAATTTCGTTTCGAATAATTGTTATATTTCCTGAGATTCTTTGGTTCCTTAAAAATGTCAAAATAAAGTAGAGTGTCCCAGTTAAACATATGTTTCATTTAAAAGATTTCTATTTAAACGATGATTTTTTTTTACAAAAATGTAGTTTTTCTTAAAATTATCAAAAACACAGGTTTACTTTTTATATTTCTTAAAATTTATTGGATTCTTTTGAAATATTGTATGTTTTTTAAAAAAAATAGTAATCTAAACTTGAGGGAAGCAAAGGAACCTAAAGTTTTACGACAAAACCCCCTTTTTATTAAAAATAACTTACTTTATTTAATTGGAAAATAAGACAAATGCGTCAAAA